ACTATACTGATTTTTCCAATCCAAGAAGATGGTATAATCTCTCCATCTATTTGTGTCATCTTCGATTTCTTTCATCACTTTTTTTTTTATGGTTTTCTGAGTCCAGGTCTTTTGCTTCCTTGAGTGAGTGAAGTTGCTCAGTTGTGTCTGACTCTTTGTGACCCCATGGACTGTAGCCTACCAGGCTCCTGAGTCCATGGAATTTTCCAGGCAAGAGTACTGGAGTGGGTTGCCACTTCCTTCTTCAGGGGAGCTTCCTGACCCAGGGATTGAACCCCGGTCATCCGCGTTGCAGGCAGACGCTTTACCATCTGAGTCACCAGAGAAACCCTTTGCTTCCTTAGAGAGCTGTATTCCTACATATTTTATTCTTTTCTGGGGATGATACATTGGATTATTTCCATAATTTTGCTTTCTGATCTTTCATTCTCATTGTATAGGAAAACAGGAGATTTCTTTGCATTTCGTACCCTGCAACTTCACCAAACTCATTGATTAGCTCTGGTAATTTTCTGGTAACATGTTGAGGATTCTCTACATACAGTATGTCATCTGGAAAAAAGTGAGTTCTACTACTTTTCCAATTTGGATTCATTTCTTTTACTTGATTGCTTTGGCTAGGACTTCTAAAACGATGTTGAATTAGAGTGGTAAGAGTGGACATCCTTATCTTCTTCCTGATATTAGAGGAAATATTTTCAGTATCTCACCATTGAGAATGATGTTTGCTGTAGGTTGGTTTGGTCTATGGCCTTTATTATGCTGAGGTAGTATCCCTCTTTGGCCATTTTCTGGAGATTTTTTAAAAATCATAAATGCTGTTAAATTTTATCAAAAGCTTTTACTTCATCTATTTAATTTTTTAATATAGTGTAGCGCATTGATTTGTGTGTATTGTGAAGAATCCTTGCATTCCTGAAATAAATCTCACTTGATCATGGTGTGTGATCCTTTGAATATATTATTGGATTCTGTTTGCCAGTATTTTGCTGAATATTTTTTTATCCATGTTCATCACTGACATTGATGTCATTTACTTTTTTCTGTGATATCTTTGTCTGGTTTTGGTATCAAAGTGATGTCAGCCTTGTAGAATGAATTTGGTGGTGTGCCTCCCTCTGCAATTTTTGGAAAGACTTTGAGAACAAGTGTTAACTCTTCTCTAAATGTTTGGTAGAATTTGCCTGTGAAACCATCTGTTACTTGACTTTTGTGTGTTGGAAGACTTTTTAACTATACTTTCAATTTCATTATTTGTGATTGGTCTGTTTCCCAATCTGGGAAAATCCTAACCTGGTTCAGTCATAAAAGGTTTAAATCATAAAGGTTTATGCTTTTCCAAGAATTTGTCCATTTCTTCCAGATTGTTGATTTTATTGGCATATAGTTGCTTGTTTAACAGTCTCTTATGATCCTTTGCATTTCTGCAGTGTCAGTAGTAATTTATCCTTTTTCATTTCCAATTTTCTTGATTTGAATCCTCTCCTCCTTTTTCTTAATCAGTATGGCTAAAGGTTTATCAGTTTTATTTATCTTCTCAAAGAATCAACTTTTATTGATCCTTGCTGTTGTTTCCTTCATTTCTATTTCATTTCTGCTCTGAACTTTGATTTATTTCCTTCTACTGACTTTGGGTTTTGTTGTTCTTTCTCTAGTTGCGGTATGAAGTTAGATTGTTTGAGATTTTTGTTTCTTGAAGTAAGATGGAATTATTATAAACTTCTGTCTTAGAACTTTTTTTGCTCCATCACTTAGGTTTTGTATCATTGAGTTTTTATTGTAAGTTATTTCTGTGTATTTTTTATTTCCTCTTTGATTTCTTGGTAATCTCTTGGTTATTTAGCAATGCAGTGTTCAGCCTCCATGTTTGTGTTTTTTACAGTTTTCCTGTAACTTGATTTCTAATCTCATAGCATTGTGGTTGGAAAAGTTGCTTGATAAAATTTCAATTTTCTTAAATTTTCTGGGGCTTGATTTGGGACCGAAGATGTGATTTTTTTCTGGAGAATGTTTCATGTGCACTTAAGAAAGTGTACTCTGCCACTTTCAAGTGGAGTGTCCTGTAAATATAAATTAAATATACCTGGTCTGTTGTGTCATTTAAAACTGTATTATTTCTTGTATGGATCATCTGTCCATTGGTGTAAGTGGGGTGTTAAAGTCTCCCACTATTATTGTGTTACTGCCAACTTCCCCTTTTATGGTTGTTAGCATTTACTTTGTGTTTTGAGATGCTCCTAATTGTTGTATCTTTCTTGGAGTGCTCCTTTGATCACTGTGCAGTGTACTTAGTTATCTAACACTCTTTGGGGAATACATGTAAAAAAAAAAAAAAAGATACACTATGGTTGTGATAAAAAAAAAATAAATAAATAAATAAATAAATTAAAGAAAAAAAAGAAAAAAAAATAAAGTCTGTTTTATCTGATAGGAGTATTGCTATGCCAGCTTTCTTTTTGATTTGTGTTTGAATGGAGTATCTTTTTCCATCCTCTGATTTTCAATCTGTATGTGTCCCTAGGTCTATAGAGGGTCTCTTGTAGATGGCATATATACAGGTCTATTTTTGCATCCATTCTGCCAGTTTGTATACCTGATTAGTATTTTGTGGGGAAATACTTAAGAGATTATGCCAGTATTCTGTCCTTCATTAAGCTTCTACATACAAAGTAGTAGACTGTGTAAGTAGACTTAATGAATGACCCACCTGTATGATGGCTGCCAGTGGTGTTTTTATCTATTGCCATTATTCTTACATGTATTAGTTGGCACTGTATAAAGAAAAGCTTTTTTTCCCCCTTCATGTATTTATTTACTTATATCAGTATGAATGACTCTTCAGACTGTCTCAGATTTGGCCAAGGAAACCTGTCCAAGGTGGTTCTTTTGCCCTTCTGACATATCTGCATAATTATTTGAACAATTTCTTATTGTTTAATAGATAAGACCATACTGTATTTCTCCCATGACTGACTTAGAATAGGGCATTACTCCAGAGATGTGATCCATTTTTGACGGTAGGGTTCAGTTCAGTTGCCCAGTCGTGTCTGACTCTTTGCGACCCCGTGAATCGCAGCACGCCAGGCCTCCCTGTTCATCACAAACTCCCGGAGTTTACTCAAACTCATGCCCATCAAGTTGGTAATGCCATCCAGCCATCTCATCCTCTGTCGTCCCCTTCTCCTCCTGCCCCCAATCCCTCCCAGCATCAGGGTCTTTTCCAATGAGTAAACTCTTCGCATGAGGTGGCCAAAGTATTGGAGTTTCAGCTTCAGCATCAGTCTTTCCAATGAACACCCAGGACTGATCTCCTTCAGGATGGACTGGTTGGATCTCCTTGCAGTCCAAGGGACTCTCAAGAGTCTTCTCCAACATCACAGTTCAAAAGCATCAATTTTTCGGTGCTAAGCTTTCTTCACAGCCCAACTCTCACATCCATACATGACTACTGGGAAAACCATAGCCTTTTGACCAGACGGACCTTTGTTGGCAAAGTAATGTCTCTGCTTTTTAATATGCTATCTAGGTTGGTCATAACTTTTCTTTCAAGGAGTGTCTTTTAATTTCATCGGATGGTAGGATAGTATTTAGTAATTAATAACTTGGTACTTGGTGTGCTCAGTCCTACTGAGCTGTCATTATGTTCAGGCCTTCTCAGCTGACAGATCCATAAAACAAAGACACACACACATAACCACTAATATAACTATTTCAGTGTATTTAAAATGAGTTATAGTCCACTCCAACCCTCCAAGACATTTTCTAGCTTCTCCTGTTTCCATTTTAACAGACACCTTTTCCAACAACAGTGAGAAATTTGACTTTCAGCATCCTTCACACATTTACTTACCTGCCCAGTGTTACCAACACATCAGCCATGCTAACTGTCTTTTTCACCTGCACTCAGCACTCTTGATGCAGGTGGACAGAACACCTTTCTCACCCCGCCCCCACCACGGCAGACCTGTGGGGAGGCCTGTAGGAGGACCAGCAGACATTTGAATTCCTTACAACCATTGATTCCAGTTCACATCTAATATCTAATACCCTAAATTGGAAGGAACAGCACACTGAGCATTGGGCCACACTGTATAAATGCTGTGTCTAAATGCAGGCATTCTTCAAATTTCACTGATTATGATTAGATTTAACCTAGAGCTTCTGCCCATTTAAAACAGAAGTATTTTTCTGGTAATTACTGTCTGATGTCCACTGAGATGCTACTTCAAACATTTCACACAACTCCAATAAAATTATCACCTCAAAGTAAATGCTTTCCTATAATTTCCTATAGTTGGTGCATTTTCTCTGGCCTGTGGATGAAGTCTTTTCTACAAATACTGATAAGAGTGTTTACCTTGATTTCTCTGATATTTACTGAGGTGTGGTTTTGGGCAGAATGTTCCCTGTATTCATTCACCAATAGGTCTTCTCTATCTGAGCTTAATTCCAGCAGAAAATCTGATTTTTCTATGTCCTTAATATCTTCACATTATTTTCTCCCCTCACTAAGTTCTCTGATGTATTTTAAGAACTGACTTTAGACCAAAGGTGTTCTCAAAATCTTAACAGATTTTTCTCCCCACTTGGTGTTCTTTGTTCCATAAACTGTTGACTTCACCCAGAGTGATTTCCCTCATTTATTATAGTTATAGGGTTTCTTCCCAAATGTATTCTCTGATGTACAGTAAGTTTTGACTTCACATAAAATGATTTTCTGCAAACACTACATTCATAGGGTTTCTCCCCTGTGTGTGTTCTGTGATGTGCAATGAGTTTTGACTTCACACAGAATGATTTTCCACATTCATTGCATTCATAGGGTTTCTGTCTTACATGAGTTCTCTGATGAACAATTAGAGCTGACTTCTGACGGAAATTTTTCCCACATTCATTACATCCAAAAGGTTTCTCTCCTGTGTGTCTCCTCTGATGTTCTGTGAAACCTGAGTAATAGCAGAAAAATTTTCCACATTCAGTACATTCATAGGGCTTCTCACCTGTATGAGTTCTCAAATGTTTAGTGAGAGTTGACTTCTCAGAGAAAGATTTCCCACATTCACTACATTCATAAGGTTTTTCTCCTGTGTGAGTTCTTTGATGTTTAATGAGGTCTGATTTTCTTAGGAAGGCCTTCCCACATTCATAACATTCATAGGGCTTCTCCCCTGTGTGTGTCTTCTGATGTACAGTAAGAACTGACTTAAATGAGAAGGCCTTCCCACATTCATGACATTCATATGGTTTCTCCCCTGTGTGTGTTCTATGGTGTTGGGTGAGGGTTGACTTTTCACTGAAGGATTTCCCACATTTGTGACATTCATAAGGTTTCTCCCCTGTATGAATTCTCTGATGTTTAATGAGGTCTGAATTCTTGTAGAAACTTTTCCCACATTCATGACATTCATAGGATTTCTCCCCTGTGTGGGTTCTCTGATGTCTTATGTGGGCTGACTTCTGGTTGAATGTTTTTCCACATTCATGACATTCATAGGGTTTCTCTCCTGTGTGCATGCTCTGTTGTGCACCAAAGACTAAGTTTTCATTGAAAAAGGTTCCATATTCATTATACTCAATTATACTGTCAACTGAGTGGGTCCTTTGAATTGGAGTCAGGTCTGACTTTTGGCTCAAAGGACGAACATTATGTTCAAAGAGAATGGAGTCCTCAAAGAAAGTTTCTCCACATTCATTAAATTTGTAGTGATTCTCTTTTGGATGTGTTCTTTGAGCAGTGAAAGGTGACATATCACAGGTTTTTCTGTATTCAGTGTATTCACAGGTGTTCTGTCCTGTGTAAGGTTTCTTACGTTTAACAAAGAGTGAATTCGCATGGAAAGCTTTCCTACATTCACTGTATTCAAAAGGCTGCTCCAAAATTTGAATTTTTTGATGCTGAACAGACTCTTCATTAAGACAGAGGCCATTCTTATTTTTATTATATTCATAAGACTTCTCTCCATAATGAATTCTTTCATGCTTGTCATCATGGAACCATTTTCTACTTTTGTTAAACTCAAACTTCTTTCTTGAATAGTTTCTGCTGCTGTTAATTAATTCTGAAATAGAGGGACAAGAAAGATTCGTTCACAAGGATATTTAGAGGAAATAGTATTAGGTTTGGGGGAGTTGATCAGTTTAGGTCCTAATCTCTTCATGCCTAGAGTATGACAAGTATATACATCCAACCTCATCTCTTTGTCAATTCTACCCAGGAGCAACAAGCCCATATTCTAAAAGCCCTAATTCATAAAGGAAAAGTACTAAAATCCAAGCTCCAGTTCTGTCTCTAGCTCTGATTCATGATGAATAAAAATATGCAACAAAAAAGCATGTCAGTGAGCCATTCTTGCCACAGGATGAGACTCACAGCTCTATTCTAGTTACATTGTGTGTGTGTGTGCATGCTCATGTGCACACTCAGTCATGTCCAACTCTTTGCAACCCCATGGACTATAGCCCACTAGGCTCCTCTGTCCATGGAATTTTCTGCAAGAATACTGGAGCAGGTTGCCATTTCCTTCGCCAGGGGATCTTTGTGTTCTCTTTATTATAGTACATGAGACTTACTGATCAGGGGACCTCTCCTGACCATCAAACCCTATTTCAATCCCTTCTGGCTTTCCCCCAAAATAAATCTCAATCCTGCTTTCACATACATGTTTCAACATCTCTGTATACCACGAATATCATAAAATTCTAAACCTGGTCCTAAAAATTTCATTTACCTTTAACCTTATGATTTTTTTGGTTATGTGTACCTGTTTTTACTCCTCTGCTGTCTATAATCCTCTATGAATGAATGACAGTTGCTCAGTCATGACTGACTCTGCAACCCCATGGACTGTATGTAGCCTGCCAGGTTCCCCTGTCCATGGAATTCTCCAGGCAAGATTACTGAAGTGGGTTGCCATTTCCTTCTCCAATAATGGTCTATATCCTTGAGTTTAACATCCTTAGTGACAATATATATCTAAAATTTTACTTTATGGTAATATAGCTGATTTACAGTGCTGTGTTAGTTTCTGGTATACAGGAAAGTGACTCAGTTCTACATATTCTTTTTCATATTCACTTCCATTGTAGTTTATTACAGCATACTGAATATAGGACCTTGTTATTTATTCTACATATAAATAGTTTCTATCTGCTAATTCAAAACTTCCAATGCATCCCTTCCCCATCGTTCTCTCCTTTGGCAGTCACAAGTATGTTCTCTGCGTCTGTTTCATAGATAAGCTCATTTGTGTCGTATTTTAGATTCTGCACAAAAGTAATATCATATGGTATTTGTCTTCCTGACTTACTTAGTATGAAAATCTCTAGGTCCATCCATATTCCTAAAAATGCCATTTTCCCTCTTTTTTATGGCTGAGTAATATTTCATTGTATTATGTATCACATCTTCTTTATCCATTTCTCTGTTGGTGGACATTCAGGTTACTTCCATGTCTTGACTATTATAAATATTGCTGCAGTCAACACTGGGGTACCTGTTTCATTTCTGAATTACAGTTTTCTCTGAATACATGCCCAGGAGTGGGATTGCTGGATCATAGGGTAAGTTCTATTTTTTAAGGAACCTCCATACTGTTCCCCATAGGGGCTGTATCAATTTATAGCTGCACCAACGGTGTAGGAAGGTTCCCTTTTCTCCACACCCTCTCCAGTACTTATTGTTTGTAAGCTTTTTGATGGTTGCCATTCTCACTGGTGTGAGGTAATACCTCATTGTAGTTTTGATTTGTATTTCTCTAATAATTAGCAATGTTGAGCATCTTTTCATGTGCCTATTGGCCATCTGGATATATTCCTTGGAGAGATATCTATTTAGCTCTTCTGCCAATTTTTTGTTGAGTTGTTTGAGATGTTTGTATACTTTGAAAAATAATTTTTTTTGGTTCTGAAGGGTTTAAGTATCATTGAGACAGTTTTTTAGCCATCATTTTACAAATGTAGAGTGAATATATTTTTCGCTAGGTAAACCCAGCTGTTTATCCCCCATAATTTGCTTTTTCATCTACTGTCATCCACTCCTCACTGTTCCCCTAGTTCTGCCTTCTCTGTGTGTTCCAGCACACCCACCTTTAGATGTATGGAACTCCCTGGTGTCCTGGTGTGTTAGGCAGAGGGATTTGGTGGTTCAAAGATGTTTTACTGCTTGCAGGTTGAAGGCAAATAACAAATATCTCAACTATTACGATAGTGACATCACTCAAAAGGGTAATTTTTAAAAAGAGCTTTGTGTGGTTTTGTGGATACTACATCAGACTGTATGGTATAAATCAATTTGGCCTAAAACCTACAGAAATTCATCCTGATCAGAGAAAGAAGTTTTTGTGGGTGAAAATTTATTGTTCACGCCTAGATAGAACAAGTTCCCATGATGGGACAATTTTTGCCTATGGGGGCATTAAAAGGCTTGAGGTTCTCAGGGAAGGTAGTATACAAAGGAGACCACATGACCAAGGTGGTCTTCAGATGCAGATACTTTGGGAGATGCCTTTTGGAAAAGTAATGTTGAGTTTGCTAAGGAGTTCCTGTTAAAAGCTGTTGCCTGATCTATTAGAAGCTGATAATGGGTCTCTAGCCTATTGCACTTTTGGGTGAATCACTTGGAATCCACCAGACAACCTGTAAAAGAAAAAAAAAGACTTAAAGCATAATCCTATGTATGTGAAAGTTTGGCCTTAATTTGTCCTTTAAGTGTGAGCCCTCTGATGACAAGGATAGTTATCAGAAATGTTCAAATATTTGTGCAAGCCCCTGATAGTGTAAGAAACCTCAGACATGTAGTCTGTAAGCAGTTTTCCTATAGTGTGGTTAGTCCATTAGAAAGAGGTGTGAAATATGAATTTAGCTGAAGAGATTCATGAGCCTACCTTAGCCTAGAAGGCATTTAAATCAGCTTCATCTGACTGGCCAAAGTTGTATGGATAGCAAATGTGCCACTGACTTCTTTATTGCAGTTCTACGCACAGTGTGGGCAAAATACTAATGTATCCTGCTTCACCTGGGTACAGATAGGCCAGGTAAAATCTTCATTGTTAAAGGCTAAAACAAAACAAGGCATGGCACATTATATAGAGAAACTGACCAGAAGTCACCTATGGAGAAGTAAAATGAGTGGCACTGTGGGATTCTACAGAATATCATTTTACTTTGCTGCACAGTTATAACTTTGTGAATGAATGTTAACCAAACTTGGAACCTAAATTTTGGAGAGTAATTTATTACATATGGATAGAATGCTAGAGAGATTTACATTTCAGTGGGGGTGCTGAAACCTGGGACCCTGATGCAATCTTTGATATAGGCTGGAGACAGTGTTGTTTTTTTCCCCCCTGAAGAAATCTGTATACCAAAAAGTTAAGAGAAAGAACCCCAAATCTTCTCTCTCTTCTCTTACAAGAGGAGAGGGAGAGCTACCTCTCCCTTCTACAGAACCATGCTCAGATTCATTGGCAGTGTTCTTCACCTGCAACACCAACTTTGTGTCTCTCTGTAGGACTCCTGGCTTCTCTCTCATTGCACCAAGAGAGTAGGTACGTCAGACCACATGGTTAGTAGTTCGTATTAAGTAAATATAATTCATTATCTATTCTGTTCCAGAAACTATATGTACTGTATTTATGATATTGACAAAAACAAATATTTACAATTTAACACTCTGAAAATCTCCACAACAACAACTTCAGACCCAAATGGCTTCCGTGGTGAAATTTTCCAAACACCAAAGAAATACAAAAGTCATCATGAAACAATGCTCTCTTGACTCATCTTACAAAAATGAGTGTATATGCAAATCAGAAAACAAACTTACGGTTACTCAAGGGGAGACTGAAGGGTGGAGGGACAAATTAGGGGTCTGATTTAAGAGATACAAACTGTTATGTATAAATTAGATAAGCAACAAGGATACACTGTATAGCACAGAGAATTATAAGCATAATAACTTATAATGGAGTATAATTTGCAAAAATATTGAATAACTATTTTGTTCACCTTGAAACTAATATTGTAAATCAACTAATTAAAAATTATAACATTATTTTTCAAATATTGCAAAATTCAAAATAAACATAACAAGTGTGTTTCAAATATGCACCCCAATTATGTTTCAGTAATGGAATGGAGGGATAAGTTCTGGGTTAGTCACAATGGAACACTGCAAAGCAATAAATTACTGATACACGACATGTATGACAAACACAGTGCTGATCCAAAGAAGGCAGACACATTGTATAATATATACATAGTGCACATATATTTACATATAGTACATACTGTATGACTACAGTTATTTGGAGTTAAAAACAGGCAAACCTGATCTATGCTAATAGAAGGGGGACCAATGTTACTTACTGGGAGGACACCACCAGGGGACCTTCTGGGGTGCTTAAAAAATTGTTTCATCTGTTCATCATGATTGATATATAGGCACCTCTGTATAGAAT